GATTTTGAGACAGTTTTAACATATTTGAAGCAACACGTTCTTTGTTGAAAAACATTTCTACATATCAAGAACTGTTTGTCTCAAGGCAAGGGAACAAGCTACCAACGTCCTCATGAAGAGGATTTGGAGGACTTTTTTTTTTATTCCATGGAGCCTACTTACCAGAAGAGGGAAGTTTTTCATCATTGGTCAAATATAAGTACCACATACAGGCTCTCTAGGAGCATGATAAGGGACAGTTCCAAAAGCAACGTGCTTCTTCAGGTATCTGACCAAGGTTTGTGATCTTCCTGACTTTTGACCTGTGGTTGAAGAGTCCCGTTTACCCCTTGCAGCAGACGTTTGTCACCATGTAAATTATTTAAAATCAATAGGTTGGGATTTATTTTTACCTTGTAATTTTAATTTACTTTCTATACATGGTTATGCCGCTTTCTCAATCTTAATGTTGTGTATTTTTTCATTTTGCCTTACTTCATAGAAGTTGTACCTGTTTTATTGCCATTAATAAAATTTAGCTCTTGGGTTTAGTTATCATGTCTATAGTTTTGGTGTTTAGTTTTATATTTTATGTTTTAAACATGGTTTCTGATTTTATCTATATTAATCAACTTCTCCTACATTACTCCTCCCTCGAATTTCCATAGCTTTTTGAGTTGAGTGTTAAGCTCATTTATATTCATATTGTTTAGTTATATGAGTTAAAAACCATGCATTTTTTCCCTCTCAGTACTTTGGACCTCATCACATAGTTTAACATATCATTATCTGTATGTTCTTTATGTTTCTGGTTTATAAATAGTTCATTACCCTCGCTTTTATTTCTTCTTTTACTCAAGAATTGGAGTATTCAAAAATTTCCAACGAATTGAATTTTTAAGTTGTCGTTAGTTTTCTTATTCTTTTTTTTATTCAACAGATTGTTAGGCAGCGTTTTCTCTGTGTCAGGAACCATAATAGATGCAGGGTATTGTGGAATGAATATAACCATCATGGTCACAGCCTTCATGGGAGTCATCCTTTGCTGAGTGAAACACAGATGTAATTGTGTAATTAGTCACAATTGTAATAAATGTTAAGGAAGGAAAAAATCTCAGGGTGGCCCAGCACTTCTAAATTTTACCGGAAGTAAAGTTGCCTGTCGTATTTAGTGAGCTTTTCCTTTTTGTTGTTTAACCTTGTTTTTCTTTTCCTGAATGTGAATGCTTTTAGTATCTGTTTGACTCAGGTAAGCAGATAAGTTGTTTTCTTGCATGTAGTTCTGATGGTTTCTTCCTGAGGCTTCCTGTAAATTCTGAAATCTAAAGGACCCTCAACGCATATGAGGTTTTCAGTTTATGGCACTACTTGTAATAAAAGTTTAAAACAAGTAAATGCTGCTATTTTTTTAATAAACCCTATATTAAAAAATTAAATCTTAAAAGACTTTTTCAGCATAATACATGTGCATGAATTTTAAAAATCACTAAATACTGAAAGGCTTAGTGAAGCAGCTAATACTCATTGCTCCGTCTCTGCATACCCCGATCATTCCCTAGAGGCAAACACTCAGTTATTTAGCAGTTTCTTCTGGTAGTTTCTGCCATGTTTCCATCGATGTGTTTTTGCTACAGTTTCTCGATCCACTCACTTTGGACAGTATATGATGAGTTCTTTGTAAGATGGATGTTGGTTTAGTTTTCCTGAACCATCTTCCCTCATTCTTCAAAAACACTCATGTTACCATAGTTACATCACTTTTGTTAAATGAGTATTCTTGTTTTAATTATTAGGAATGTGTAAGTATGGTTTTCCATAAATGGCTCGTCATTACTTAAGTGGTTAAGTATAAATAACATGTTCTTTCTGGAATATCCCTCTGTTTCCCTTGCATTTCTAATCCCCTTTTAAGGAAAAATTCTTACTCTAGCTACTGCTTATCTACCAGGTATTTTATATGTATATGTAGAATACACATATAAACGTATGTAATATTATATAATATCTTATCAGGTCTTATGTATATTATACATAAAATCTTTAAATTATTTTATTTAATTTTATTTTTATTATACATAATAAATTATGTCCATTCCCTTCCTCCACCCACCAGTGTGCTGTCCTATCGGGTTTTCTGTCGAGTCTTCTCTCTCTCTGGAGACCTCTCTTCTGGGGTGGAAGGATGTAGACCAGTCATTCTTAAGCCTTGCTGTTCATCTGTCCTCTCGCTTTACTACTGCTGGTTTGGATCCACTGTTTCCTACATCCCATATCCTCCTGTCCTTGGTTTATTCTTTCATTTTGCTAGGGGAAGTTCTCAAGTAGTATGCAAATGCTTACTTGGGAGATAGATGTTCTTTTTCATGTCTTCTAACATCCTGTGCATTCCTGTTGAGAAATCTGATGCCATCCTGAATCTCATTTGTGGCCACAGAATGGAGCAGATGAGTGAAGTTAACTAGACCAGGCCCTTCCGAATGTGTGTGTGTAGGTGGGGGTGGAGGGTGGGAAGGAAGTATGTGTGCAGACACAAGGTTAACGGAGGGAGGTGTGGTCTGGAGGAGCCTGGTTTTAAATTTGGGAAGTGTGCAAATGTGGCTGCCTTTGGTCGGCCCACTCCACTAAAGAACTCCAGTTGTTGGTTGGAGGTCAGTCTGCAGGGTGATCTTTAGGGACATCCTCCAGGACTCTGATCATGTTGGCCTCATGCCCATGTCAGGACACAGATGACCCCCTGATCAGCTCTGTGGTGCCATGCATCGAGGTACTTGACAGTCTAGGCAGATGGGCCAGACATGCCAGGGGACATGGGCAACCCCTCAGCTGGGTCCAGAGACCCAGTGGAGGCAGCCTTAGGCCCCAGTTTGGCTCAGCAGCAGTGTGTGTGATGGCATAGGCATTTGTTGAACTGCTGGATGAACGTGGGTGACTGCCAAAGGATTCAGTGGGCTTCTAGGTTGCATCAATAAAAAGATGACCTCCCAGCCAAGATGGTGAGGTGCCTGCTCAACTTTACAATGGGGCCATTCACAACTAGAGGATCTGGTTCTGTTCCAGGTATATGTTGTTTATTTATAGTGACTTTTTTATCCTTAAACGTTCATTTCAAATGCTTCTCTCTGCATATCTTCCCTTGACGTTTCCGTTGCCCGTTATTTACCTACTGTTGGTCTGAGTTCTTATCTCTACTTACTTACTTCATGGTGCTGTAATATACATGTCTCTGCTCTACTGAATCAAGTTCCCCAAGGGTACTCTGACAAGTCACTTAATCCTTGTGATTATGAACCTGAAATAGCGGCAGTCGTCCTGGCTCCCTCTTTGTCCCTGGGCTTTGTAAAGATCAGATGAGTTGTATGTTTTGGTGCTTTACAAGCAGCAAATGGGAGATGATGGCGTTATTTCCTGTCCATTTGCTAATATGATGAATAACAGCCTTAAATTAACAAGCTGGTTAAGCAGCCATTGTTCCTAGCATCTGTGTAGCGTCCCCTGATGTGTCCCGAATTTCTCAATGAAAAAAAAAAACACCTCGCTGTTTATTCTCCAGCTTCTTTATTACTGGGGACATCCTTTCAGCTCTTTCTTTTGCCTCTCCTCTCTGAAGTCTTTAAGCTGTCACTGCTCAGCTGGGCTGTTGCGCAACTGCGTTCTCTGTGACTCCAGAGGCTGAGGATCAGGGAATTAGCCAAGGCAGCCTGAGTTCCCCGATGCACCAGACATGGCCTCAGTCTGGGATTTGCAGACCTGGGCCCCAGGAACCCAAAGGGCCGCTTCAGTTCGAAAGGCCGGCTCCCCCTGTTGCTGGGCAGTACTGCTGTCCTTCCCTCTGCTGGATGATGGAGCTGTTGGCCACTGGCCCACGTTAGTCTGATGGATATGGCAGGGTGGCCGGTCCTGGTCCTTGCACAGACCATGGGTTCTCAAAACCACACTTGACTGAGGATGCTCCTGGCCTAGGGTCCCTCTTCATTTATGCTCCTGGGCTCAGCCATGGATCTCAGATCCCAGAAGCACTGGCCCTGGAAGCTAAACTTGGGGCTTTCCAGCTTTAGCCACGTGCTGTGCCAGAGCCAACCCTCACCACCGACCCTTTCCTGTATCCTCTTTTCAAATCTGTTCTCAGCTTAGATTCCTTTCCTCAAAGCCATTTTATTCAAGGAGCCTCATTGCCATTTCCTGGCACTGGGCCTTGACGTAGGACTTGCAGGATGACCACAGCATCAGGTCTGGAGAACCAGGATTCAGTTTCTATTCCTTTCTTCCAGGAAGCCTGTTTATGAACACAGAGCCATCCTTTCCCTGGTGACCAGCTTTACATACCAGAGATCTCAGTCATAAAAGATATTACTTCTTTAATCTCTGGGCTGTGGGTATCTGCTTATCCTGTAGTTGCGTAACTAAATCACCCCTTAGATGACAAAAAGGTTTAGCTTATTTTGACTAAAACACCGTAGCCAGTGTAAATAAGACACAGCCATGGACCACAGGGGATCTGGAGGAGATAGCCCTGATTGGAGAGATGGCCTGGCTAGGTGCACAGAATGGGCAGGCGAAGTGGGTGACATTTTGAGGGGGCCTTCAGTAATGGCAGAGATGTTGAGGAAGAGTAAGAAGTTGTGAATCCAGGGAGAGAGGCGTAATGAGGCTGTGAAATAGCTCTGGGTGACCTTGAGGAATTTGCTTTACTCTCCGAGCTCTTTGTTGTGGTGGGGTCTGTGTACCACGGTGGTGGTCATTATGCAGGGGATTCTGGTGTTGGACGGAACAATGGACTCAGTAACTCTGGAGGGTACCTTCTAAGTGTAAGGTTTTATGAAAAATGACTAAGTTGAGCTGTGAAACGTTCCATCTCTATAAGACACAGCTTCTTACAATGCTTAGTTGCACCCAGGATTCTGCAGACCACAGACATACCATTTAGCACGTTTCCTTTTAGTTTTTGTTCACAGCTATCCTTTCTGTTTAGTTTCTTCTAGTTTGTTTGTCTTCTCTCTCATAATCTTTTTTTCTCCCACCAGCTTTTGAATCGAAAAGATAAGACCACCTTTGAGAAACTGGACTACCTGATGTCCAAAGAAGATAATTACAAGCGGACTCGGGAGTATATCCGAAGCCTGAAGATGGTTCCCAGTATTCCCTATCTAGGTAGGAGTCTGAATCAGATTATTGTTTTTTTAAGAAACCTACTCAGCGCCAGATGAGCTGTTTTTACAGTTTCTAGTCAAGAAAGTTCCACGAAGCAGCATGGGTCATGGATAAAGAGGTTGGCTCTTCGGGTTAGAACAGGCTGTTGGTACTCCCTGAGAACGGGGACTTCCTGATGAGGGTCCCCGAACAAGGGATATTCTGCTGCTGATACAAATGCCCAGTGAATCCCAAGCCTCCCCAGCCTGTAGCTCAGAAGGATCACGAGACTCTTACTGGTCTATCCGCATCCTTCTGAACTGGGGGAGCATGTCAGTTGCTCAGTCGTGTCCAACTCTGCCACCCCATGGACAGGGGCCCGCCAGGCTCCGCCATCCATGGGATTTTCCAGGCAAGAATAGTGGAGTGGGTTGCCATTTCCTTTTGCAGGGGTTCTTCCTGACCCAGAGATCGAACCTGGGTCTCCCACATTGTCAGCAGACTCTTTACTGTTCTGAGCCTCTAGGGAAGACTGAACTGGGGGGACTCAGGCCCAAACCCCTGTGTTCTGGTTCTCTGAGCATTGCTAATATGTAAGATTTGTCTCAATGAAATTATTATAATGATTATTGATTTTACTGTTTCAAAAATAATATGTGTTTATTGCAAGGAATTAGGAAGATAAGAAGATTAGTATCATTTGTTATTTCATCCAGAGATAAACATTATTTTGGTTCAAATCTTTTCATTCGTTTGGGTGCATATAAAATCTGTATGTTTACTCTATTGTGAACATTTAATGTTATTACCTGCATTTCTGTACTGTGACTCAGTCCCACGTGGATTTGTCCAACTGAAATCTGCTCTCTAGTAATGACATATAAATTGTCTCTACATTTTTGCTCTTCTGCAGTGGCCATCCCTGTTGCATATATTTCCTATGTGTAATTATGATTATTATCTTCTAAGAAATTCCTGGAAGTGTGATTATTGGGTCAAAACTTACGTGAAATTGTATGCCTTTTCACATATATTTTGAAAACGCCCTCCATAGAGGTTGTAGCAATTTATGTTCACATTAGAGGGCAAAGAAATTGCCTATTTTCCCCATGTGCACAAATGCTTTGTGTTTTCATGTGCTTTTTTTCCTTTATCATTCCTTTTTTTCCTTTGCCATTTTGACAGGTGAAAAATACTTCTTATAGTTTGGTTTTCACAGTTATGCTAATTTATGATATAAAATAATACTAAGAACAAGGCAAATTACGATTTTATGGATATGGCCCCTAATATTTTCAGAAATCTAGTGCAAGTTTTTTGAGATACATTTTTGACAACTTTTAAATGTCCTCTTTGAGCATTGTGTATTCAGTTTTTTAGTTCCTTTAAAACTAATTTTGAAAATTAAACTTTAGTAGAAAATTGTTCATTTGATCCAAGTCTTCAAAATGATTAGCATAAAGTTTTTCCTCACTTAATTTGTTTTGACTGAAAAATTTTGTGTAATTGCTTATACATTTTAACCTCCTGTGTATATGGGTTTATCTTTGCTTTGCATTCCTAATAGCTTGCATTTTCATTTTCTCTTTTCTTTTTTTTAAATTTGCTTTGCCAGAGGTATGTCTGTTGGTTTTTCCTGAGGATTAGACTCTGTATTTGTGTATCAGTCACACTGTCTTCCTGCTTTCTAATCTACTATATTCCATCAGTCTAGGATGTGCCTTTTCTCTCTGCATTTTTAAACCTCTCAAATTGGGATGCATCTTTCACTTGGTGGTAACAAAGCATTGTGACGCTGGTTAATTGGTAGCAGTGTTCCTTATGATACATAAAATAATGATGCATCCTAAATTTATAGTAAATGACATCCTAAATTTGATGAAATATGGAATTTATTCTTTTGTCTTTTATGATTAATTTCTTCTGCTTTCCTTAAGTTGTTTTGTATTGTAAACAAATTATTGGCTTATTTGTGTATACATTATTCTTCCCATTTTCATTGGAAAATAGTTACTGGTATACATTTCCCTCTAACTGATGCTTTTGTTGTATCCTACGTGTTTAAATGTATAGTATGCTCACAATAGTCTTAAAAGTGTTCAATAATTATAGTTTCAATTTTTCTTTTATGCAAGTGTTATTTAAGGTAGTGGTATTTTAAATTTCCAAGAGCTTGGAGTTTTTTGTTTTTGGTTTTTTTCAAATGGCTTTATTGAGTTGTAATTCATGTATCACTCATTTAAAGTGTACAACCAGTGGTTTTAAAATATTCACAAAGCTCTGCAACCATCTGCAAAATCAATTTTAGAACGTCTTTATCATCCCAAAGAGAAACCCCGAACCTGTTCGTAGTCGCTCCTTTTCCTCTAACCACCTCCCTTCCACTCGCTCACCTTCAGCCCTAGACAACTGCTGATGTACTTTCTGGCCTCATAGCTTTGCTTATTTGGGATGTTTCATATGAATTGAATTGTAAAGTGTGGTCTTTTATGACTGGCTTCTTTCCCTGAGTGTTATGTTTTCAAGGTTCATCCATGTTAGAGCATGATCAGTATTTCATTCCTTCTTATTGCCAAATAGTATTCCATTGAATGTATGCACCACATTTTATTCTTTTAAACGTTTATTCATTTATTTCTGGCTGTGATGGTTCTTTGCTGCCACGCAGGTTTTTCTCTGGTTGCCGTGAACGGGGGCTCCTCTCCAGTTGAAGTACACGGACTTCTCCCTGCAGTAGCTCTTCTTGTTGCAGAGTGCGGACTCTCGAGCACCTGCTCAGTAGTCGTGGCACATGTGCTTGGGTGCTCTGAGCATGTGGGATCTTCCCGGACCAGGGATTGAACCTGTGTCTCCTGCATGGGCAGGTGGATTCGTTACCACTGAGTCACCAGGGGAGCCCCACCACATTTTACTTATCTGTTCACCATTTGAGGGACACATGAATTGTTTCACTTTTGCGTTACTGTGGATAACACTACTATGAAGGACTTTGGGTTTTAAAAACAGTCTTCTCTCTGATTTTTTCAACATTGGTTTTCAGATATATGGCCCATATGCTTTTGAGGTTTTTAAAAAAACGTTGATATTTGTCTTGTGATTTAATATAAGATCAATTTGTGTAAATGTTTCGTGGGTGCTAGAGAAGATGTAATCTCACAAGTTACTCTTATAATTACATTATAACATTCAGATTTTTCATTTTTGACAACCTGGTCAATCAAGAATAGAAATATATGTTAGAGTCACTTTGCCTTTCTGATAGTTTCTGCCTTACATTTTTTCATATACAGTTGACTCTCCATACCCCTGGGTTCTGAATTCATGGATTCAGCCAACCCAGGGCTTAAAATATTTGAAAAAAGAAATCCACAAAGTTCCAAAAAGCAGAGTTTGAATTTGCCATATGTTGGCAACTATTTACATAGCATTTACATCGTATTAAGTATTATAAGTAACCCAGAGATGATTTAAAGTACAGGGGAGGGTATGCGTAGGTTGTATGCAAATTCTGTGGCATTTTACATAAGGGACTTGAGCATCCCTGGATTTGGGTATCTGCAGAGGTCCTGGAGCCAATCCCTTGTGGATATCCGTCAATGACCGAATAGATGTTTTTAACAGTTGCAGATTTGTTATGAAGGGTCCCATGCAAAATGATCTTGATTCCATTTATTATTTGCTTTTATTTCATTGCTGTTGATTCTGTGAAATCTGATTTATTTTTCCTTTGCATTCATTTTATAAATCTTTGACTGTATTTTGCACTTTGATATTATAAGTTGTTTTGTTTTAAGTGTGATCCTTGAAAATCATATTTGTGTGTGCTTGTGTGTGGTTAGTTGCTCAGTCGTGTCCGACTCTTTGCAACCCCATGGACTGCAGCCCGCTAGGCTCTTCTGTCCATGGGATTCTCCAGGCAAGAACACTGGAGTGGGTTGCCATGCCCTCTTCCAGAAATCATATTTAGTTGGGCCCAATATGAGAGACCTTGCCTTTTAGTAGGGGAGTAAAAGTCTTTCCCGTGTGTTTAGACTTAAACAGTGTTATTGAATCATCGTTCTTTTTTTTTTCTTTTATACTTTCTTATCCTTGCCTTGTTCTCGTCTTAGAGCTTGCTGTAAATTTAGTGTCCTTCCATTTGGGTGACCATGAGAGTGAATCACTATCTCAGATATGTAGATGGTTGGGCATGCCCAGCTGCCAAGCCCATTCCCACCTTGCCTGAGGCTGATCGATCAGAAAGTGGGTTGGTGGCATTAGGGTGGGGGCAACCCCTAGTTTAACCAGAACAGGTGTTGTAGGGTTAAGGATGGCCTCTTCTCTCTCATACAATGATCACTAGAGTTGCTGTTGATCTTCTGCTTCCTCTGCGCCTGGCACTTGGCTAGGCGCTTTAATGTGTCAACTCAGTGAATGCTCACCATGGCCCAGTGAGTAAGCAGGTGCTGAGAGGTTGCCTCGGGTCACATAACAGGAGCGTGGCAGAGCCAGGCCTCGGCCCAGATGGCCTGGCCGTCAGCCCTCGGCTCTGACGCTGCCCTCTTCCGACTCCCCACCTCCACTGCTCGGGTCATTATCCTCCCTTTCGATTGTCACCTGTATGTCCTGTGCTATTTATGACTTGTGGATGGTCTCCATCGGGCACTGACACAGTGGGATTAATAATGCAGTGGGATTAATACAGTTGATACAGGCGGGATAGATTGTCTTGGCACTTCCCTGTGACGCTGCTCATGGACCACAAAGCACTGCTGTCTTGGGCTTCCGAGGGGTCAGTCACTGGGCCTCAGCCAAGCGCATACTGGACCAGTAATGTCTTCCCTTGCTGACCTGTGTCCCTTCTCATCAGACTCAGCGTATGCTTCCAGACCTCCCCTTCAGATGAGTCCCCTATTCAGGCCGCTGGCCAGATGCCCCTCATGAGTGACCACATCAGGCCGAGGGACAGGTCCACACTTCCAGGGGACACGTGGTCTGTGCCCTGGTCCAACGCCACGGACCCCCTCTGCTTGTCCTTGTCA